TGTTCACCATCCAGTAGCGTATTTCTGTGTCGGAGAATATGATGCCTCCATCATCTTCTATAACGGGATCGCTGATAAGAGGTTGATGCTCTTCCGATGGTGACTGAGGTGGAGTCCTGTATACTTGTACAGCTCTGCAGGGTGACGTCAACGGAGACCTGTCTGGGGACTTCCGTGAAGACTTGTGAGTCGAACGATGTGGTGACCTGTGAGGAGATCGACGTGGAGACCGATGCGAGGAGATCGACGCAGGAGATTGACGGCGGAGAACGGCCTGACGAGAAGCCTGCGCTCTGTATGGTGACCTTCGCGGAGATCTATGTGGTGAACGATGATAGCTTCGCGGAAGGTCTTGGGGAATCCTCGATGACCTTCTAGACGAAGATGACTTGGAGCCTGTAACTGGTGCCCTTCGCGAAGCTTCATCTGAGTTCGGCCCTGGGGAGTGACGACTTGACCTTCGCAAAGGCCTTCGCAAAGGCTGGGGGTCCGAGTCAGAGTCCGGGGATGAGAGGATCTCCCTTCGCAAACCTCTTCGTGAGCGTTGATCATCGGAGTCCGAGGTAGGTGACGATCTAGGTGTCCTTCGCGAAGGCCTTCGCGAACGCTGAACATCTGGGTCCTTCGCAGAGGTGGGCTGTGACGTCCTTCGCGCAGGTGGGTTCCTCAGCGATGACTTGGTAGCAGCCGCTAGGGGTCCCTCTGGGGTGACGTCTACGTAGGAGCCTTCGCTGAAGGCTCAGGCTCTGGGCTGGTTGTCTCTCCAGTCCGTAGCGGTCTTCCATCATCTTCATAATCTGAAGAACCAGGTCGCCTGGGACGGTCCCGCGAAGATGTAGTTGCTGCCCTATCTGGCGTTGGTAGCTTAATGGACCCTCAGGAAGATCGCCAGACATCAGCGCTGGTACATCAGGCTGCGTGTAGATCTGCGCTGACGCCACTGTTGCCGACACCGGTCGCTTTCTTGTGATGCACATCAGGTATGATGATCGGCTGATCATCATACAGGCCCAGTTCTGGCGGGCGGAACAATCTTGGCTGAGAAAGTCCTTGTAGACTTCGCCGATTTCCCTTGGAGGTAGACGCTGCCCTGGGGGTGCGGAGTCTGCGCTGAGTTGAAGTGGAAGCCCTCTTAGTCTTCGGCTGCGACGCACGGGATGTCTGGGGATGCAGGACGCTTCTTGAGACGGCGGATCAAGCGCCCCACGCCTCTCCGAGGGTAACTCTAGCGGAACACCAGACGGGAGGGGTCGTCCGACAGCAGTTGACTTGCGAGGGGTTCAGATGTATCAGCCATGGCTAGACTCTGCTTATGTGACCTATCTGCTGCGCGTCTCAAAACGCAAAGTGAATATTTGTTAAAAGCAGAATTAGACAAATTATTACAGTAACTGCAATGTGAAGAAAATGAACATGGTGCAGTACAGCTAGGGCATATTAAATGCGGATCAGCAGCAGAAAAATGTAACCTGCAAACAGTACAGATTTTCATCAACGTAAACTACTGAACAATCACGGCGTCCCGTGAATAAACAGCAGAAATACGAATAAATATCAATACATAATTGTTGAAGGATACTAGCTACACCTCTATAGAAGACTATAAGAGGTAACTAACTAAGAATAATCAAAGGATATAGTGTGTAGGGAGACACAGGCGCTCTCACATCCTGCTCACTGGGCAAAGAAGGAGAGAGTGAAGCATGTGGGAAGAGGTGGCGCCTCCTTTCCCGCGCATTTCGGAAAGGGAAGCAACTCTTGGTGAGTACTAATTAGTGATTTTACATTGAAGGGAGCTTCAATTAGGGAGATACAAGTGTTCCACTATGTTCGCAAGAAGAAGAAGACAAGCAAAAGAGCATGAGTCAGGATAAGGAAAAATAACTTGTCTAGCAATTTTCATAACAAGTACTCATTATCAGATACATTCAACAGAACCTGACCCTATGATGATAAATGATTAATGATTCTATTTCAATTTTGCATTACCTTTATTAAATTTCAATTATATGATTATTTTTCCATCAGTCTGGTACACAGCTGTTATGCCATACAGTCAGGAGATCATTATTTAAATGTCAGATTAATACATTTTTTATAAGGTATTTGCTATAATAAAAACTCTACCTATATATTTATATAGAGCAGAGTTCCAGCTAGGCTGCTCACAAGCACTTTGTTTTTCCCTCGAACACTGGATGCCAATCTCAACGGCACTTCGTATTATCAATCTCAACTCCCTGGGGATCATACAACTCTTGCAGCCACTAGGCGCATCCAGTTAATATGGCTTTCCCATCGAGTTTGGTATGGTGCTAATTGTCCAAAACGTCCATAGATCAGTAAAATAATAATTTCTTATGCTGTGTAGTGAGCGAGTGAGTTAAGTTTTACACCGTTTTTAGCAATATTCCAGCAATATAACGGCAGGGGACGCCAGAAATGGACTTCACACATTGTGCCCATGTGGGGAATCAAACCCGAGTCTTTGGCGTGACAAGCGAATGCCTTAACCACCAGGCTACCCCACCGCCCCTTATGCTGTGTAAAATGTGTAACAATTTTCACCGTATGTTGCATATGATCTCACTTTAAACATAAATCAATAAGATGAGTGAGTGAGTGAGTGAGTGAGTGAGTGAGTGAGTGAGTGAGTGTTCATTCTAGGTCGTACCCTTGCGCCATTCGCGCATTGAAAGTTCACTTTAAAAATACTGGCGGGCCGTATTGGCGCACTCGAGACATCAAACATAAATCTGAAATGCATTACGAGTTTGTTTTCTTGCCTCAACTCAAGCAAATCTCAAAACGCATGCTTCCCTCACTGAAGCGAGCTGTTGTTTTGAGTACCGAGAAGTCTGCACATCAATTTCAATTTCAAGCTGTTTCAAATGAGAGTTCAGTGTTGTGAGAAAATCTGATGCGCTTTGTAAAACAGATTCCGACTGGTAGGTTTCATTGAGTGATCCAATCATGTTGCATGTAGCAGTTTTATACTTTTGTTGCCATTGGGTACACACCGGCTGTCAAACGCCGATGTCAATAAAAAATTCTTTCTGTTTTTGCGAAAAAGCAAAAACCTTGTTACGGTGACGATACAGAGAGCACAACCAACCAAACTATTAAGCGTAACAAGTATTCAGTTTATACTTTGAAGTTGATTTTGAGAATTAAAAACTGACATTACCTGGTTGTAACAAAATGATTGTCATTTTTCATTGCTAAGCATCGACTTGTGATGTTTAAATACCATTTTGAAAACTGCGTGAGTGAGTGAGTGAGGTTAGTTTTACGCCGCACTCAGCAATATTCCAGCTATATGGCGGCGGTCTGTAAATAATCGAGTCTGGACCAGACAATCCAGTGATCAACAGCATGAGCATCGATCTGCGCAATTGGGAGCCGATGATATGTGTCAACCAAGTCATCGAGCCTGACCACCCGATCCCGTTAGTCGCCTCTTATGACAAGCATAGTCACCTTTTACAACAAGCATGGGTTACTGAAGACCAATTCTAACCCGGGACCTTCACGGGTCTTTTGAAAACTGAACTCAAATTAGTAACTACTAGGTACTGTATGTCTAACAAGCCACAGCAATTTGACATGACCCATACTATTTTCCAAATGGCCCACATAACTGAGGACAGGCCTTTATTAAGGCTGGAATGAACCCCGGTGAGTGAGTGTGGTTTTATGCCGCTTTAAGCAATATTCCAGCAATATGATGGCGGGAGACATCAGAAATGGGCTTCACACATAGTACCCATGCGGCGAATCAAACCCGGGTCTTCTGTGTGACGAGCGGACGCTTTAACCATTAGACTACCCCACCGCCCCAAAGGATTGCTTACTTAAATTAGTAAAATATATTATTGTTGGGATTACACTTTCTCAGTTTTTCCCGGTTTCTCTTTCTAAAAGGCATAATGTATTCATAGTAATATATGGATTCGAGATGAAAATATTTGAATGATTTTCTTGATTTTTTCTAGAATTATTGAGTGTATTGGGAGAAGAAGGATGGCCATTGTAATAAATTTTAGAAGTTCAGTCAAGCACCGTTGTCTCGATATTCATGGGACCAAGAAAAATATTGAGTTATCCGATCTTTGAGGCATCCGACCAGGGCATTTCATCACATATCACTATGAAAAAAAAAGAAATGCTTCTCAGTATGTTTTGATTCGAAACTATAATCCGTTATCAGTAGTGTTTAGTCGTAACAGTGAGTACTTCCTAATTAATTCCTTCTTAGTTAATCCTAATTAAATAACAAACAATTGACACCTTCAACTCAATTAGCCCTAATTCCCCTACCGCATCTCTTTGATTCATGCCGCACCGTGTGTAAACATGTGGAAACAACCTCAGTTCAGAGGGATACTTGTCCATAAAAGGTAGGTGAATATCGAGTTTCTTTGCAAATATCCAGTTAAAAGGGTAATTTTGCTTGTTGGGACCATGAAATAGTTACTAATCCCGGTGGAGACACCAAAATTTGTGACCTGGGTCTCATACTGTGTTGTGTCCCTGGGCAAGGCACTTCGTCCACATTGCACTCAGTCCACCCAGCTGTTCAAATGGGTACCTGAGAAGTGGATGTACGGACCTATACGGTCACGCAAAGCGCTTAGTGCAATTCAGTCAGGGTATTAATGTAACGCCCGAGAGCAGCACCGTGCTGGATTCTAGGCGCAAAAATTAGCATTAATTAATTAATTAATTAAATTATATCGAGATATCCGAAATATCGCGACATCCTTATCAAGTTAAACGAGCTTGAATAATGATAAATTATGAAGGATTTTGCCGGGACCAAGATGTTATATCGTGACAACCAAGACTTCGAGTTATCAGAGTTTGAAACAAAGGTGCTCCACTGTATGTGCATTCAGATATTATAAGAGTAATCCTATCATTAAAAAACAGAAGGCCAAGTTGATTATGGAGGTCTGCCAAAACTGATGACCCTGACCTTGGACCTGACCTTGACCTACCAGGGATATTAAAGTTCTCATTGATGCCGGCTGGGAAATCCGTGTTTTCGGGCACAGTTGTGGCGTAGTCGTCAAGCTTCGGGATGGTCTCTGGGATCTCAGTGTGTCGCGGCACCAGTACAGGGGGCAGCACTGCAATGGCATAAGTCAAATATTAGTTCACATTGCCCCAAATTTCTTCTAGAAAAGTTCCATAGCAATATATGTTACAAAGGGAAATCATCAAATGCAAGCTCCCTCATACTTTAACCATAACAGACATAAGTGTAAATTATTACACTATACATGGGGGTAGCGCAAACAGTATTTCATAAGTAGCATGCACCTAGTTTGCAACGTGAGAACACCCAAATCGTAATCGATTTGAAATTGCATACAAGTCGAGACATAGGATTTGTCCTAATTCCTACTACAAAACGCATGCTCTTGTCCAATCAAATCGCTTAGATCTGTGTCCACCTCAGAGTGATGTCCCTTTTGTTTCTGTTTTGTTTACGGAGACACGACTGAACAAATATCAACCTTACACGAGAAGAATGTGAGCGATTTAAAGGTTTTTACTTGTCACAGGAATGTTCCCCCTAAGAATTCAGTTGCAGACCCACTATGAATCTTCTTTTTCTGCAATATGCAGACTGACATTAACGTTGGTGTTTTTTCTTCACTAGACGAATTTATGTTGCTGAGTTATACGTGAGAAAATCATGAGATACGAGTTGTATGCAACTTCAAACGTACACAGATAACAAAGTCGTAATGATCTCAAGTTGCACCGTGAGTGAGTTTGATTTTACGCCACTTTTAGCAATATTCCAGCAATATCACAGCGGGGGACACCAGAAATAGTTGCACCGTGGTGACACCAGAAATAGTTGCACCGCAGAGGGTGATGATACCACAATGTATATCCAATTAGGGGATGAACATCATGTGTTTGCCAATTGTTATTGAGAGTTGAAGACGGGAATTCATTTGTAACCGACGGCATAAGCTGTAGGTTTCAAATGAATTATTCCCGTGCTTCAAATACTCAATAACTACTGGAATTGGCAAACACATGATGTTTATCGACATTGTAAACACAAAAGTAAACCAAAAGGTCCACACATGTTTTTGTGTCTGCACTCATTGACATCGAGTATGGGTACAGCAGTGAAATGTCATCAGCCGGCCGTTTCGGCTGTCTCCCATGGTAGCATCTGGAACTGCTCACTTGTGACGTCATTCAGACTTTACGTCACAATATGATTTCAATGACGTCATCACAGCTGACGACGTAACAATACAATGGTGTGGGCGATGTTTGTACGTATTAATATGCAGCGATTTTCCGGGAATCGAATACCGATCATGTTTTTCAACCAATCAGCTTAAAGAACACAGTGACTTTTAGGTTTACAATGTTTTTCTCATCGCCAAACAAAGCCAGCAACAGAGTGGGTTGTGTTATAAACAGACAAAAGAAAAGAGGACAAAATGTTTTTCACAGTGTGACTGTTTTATTCCATATTTAAATAAATCACTTGGTAACAGTCTTTCAATTAATGGATGACATAGATCTAGTGTCTTTGCTTCAGAAACAATTTATTAACCAATTGCGATAAAGAAAGTAAGAAAGATCATGCTGACCTTGCGATATTTTTGTTTTAGGGTAAGAGAATTATTTTTTATGACATAAGGCCGTAAACTAAAACAGCAACAGAAAAATTAAGATGAGAAACCTTTTTATGACTTCCATGTCAGAATGAAAATTCAGGGCACGAGGGAGAAGGGAAACAGAAAAACATAAGGACCACTTAATTAAATGTCAGCATGAGTTTTCTGAGGGCAAAAATCTGTACAACAAGAAATAAAATTAGTCAGGCCTAACATTTGTATAGCGCCAATATACAGCTCAGCTGCTCAAAGGTGCTTTGATGTTCCCTCAATCATTGGATGTCAAACTCAAACCTCAAACGGCACATCGTATTATCAATCTCAACTCCCTGGGGAGCATAGAACACTTGCAGCCACTAGGCACAGCTGGAAGGACAGGGACACATAGTCACAGTACTTTGTCCAGCTTGTAACGCATGTTGCTGTACCCGCAACTAGGTGTTTGGACATATTCATCTGGCCACCATCTGGTCATTTACCAACGGATCTGTTGGTTCTTTTAAGTGCACAGTACTTGAAAGTGTACTGTACACTAGGGTGAGTGAGTTAACATTTTAAGTCACATCGGCAATATTTCAGCCATATCGTGACTAAAGCAAGTTATAAATATATCATCAATTTATGTTAAATTAAAAAATTCTGCCAACGAAGGACAGTAAGACAACTAGAGTATCAAAGATATAGATATAAAACTAGTAACTAAATCTAAAACATTTGAACTATACAAGACGATACAATATAAAAAAAGGCTATTGATCGCCAACAACTGAAGGTAGATCACCATACTAGGGTCCATTGGGACTTACATTACTTTTGCTACCTGCATGGACCCTAGCTGGATTTACAACATCCCCCTCAGCCGCTGGCGATGTAGGAACATTAAGCCGAAAGTTAAAATAACAGAAATGATACGATTAAAAGTATGGTTGTGCGATATGGACTTTGAAAGTGTATGGGACTTACTTACCCTCTCAGGAGGACAATAATTTTACGATACTTTAACCCCCTTTGAGGATACAGCCGCTGTACACTAGGGGTTGTGACAACACTGAAAGAGTCTGCACACAAAGTTGACTCCAAGGTTTTTACATCCGATCACAGGTGACTTGATCCTGGCACCTCAAGCTCGCTGGATCACTAGCCTGGCACCTAAGACAGCTCGCCCACCACACCCCTCCTGATAATGCATGCTCCACTAAATCAGCGGACGCATCGCCATGATCCTTTACAGTCTCACTTCCGGTGATTAATTGTACATCGAGGTGGTCAATCCAACTCTTTCAAACATCTTCTCGACATCGTCTTTCCGATTTGGACAAACAATGATTCCAGAGAACATGTGCTTTGAAAATAGAGATGTCTCCTTGACACAAATGTACATTGTCCAAAAGAACATTAATTCCATCTTCAACGGCCTTCTTAATGGAGTAAATCAGCAAGTAGATTCCTGGTACTCGGATTAAATGAGGAATCATGTATTTGAGACCACAGCCAAGACTAGAATGGACATTGTGTTTTTCAACATCCAGAGGTGCAGAGACCATGGTCTCCCTGCTTATAATGCCTGGAGACAATTCCTACAATCTGCCTAATGTTACTTTTCCAACCAACGTTTTTGATGGTTGAGCTGCTAAGGATCAAATCATTGATTCAACAGAAAACTATGATGTGGGGTCAAATTTGGTTTAAATATCTAAGCTTATTGTAAGCATGGATCCCAGATTTCAGTATGTCACTGCATCTTGTGGATCCCATACCTGCTATTGACAGGTGTTGTGTACTTGTCAATGACCCATGCCATGATTTGCAAAATGGTTGATTGGTGCCATGAAAACAATTTTTATTGACACTCATGTATCCAGTGCATAAGGTTAGAATAAAGTGGCTGTTTGCCTAAAGAGGTGTTACCATATTATTATTTATCCAGTTCTAAATGGATACAATTTCAAATTATAAATTTATGTTTAAGTAAAGTTGGGAATTTTTGTGATCCATAGCAAAGTGTGAGTAGTATAGAAAGGACATGGTGAGGTGAGGTGAAATTGGGTTTTACGTCGTGCTTGAGAATATTTCGCTCATATGACGTGCATGCGTGTGCATGTGTATGTGCGGCTGCTTGTACTAGCCCAGACTGAAGCTGTTTTGTTGAGTGCTAGCCCATTGAGATACCATGCCGCAGTGAAGCATGAATACCCCACTCAGACACATTATACTGACTTCGAGCCGACCAGTCCTTGTTGTACCCATTAATGCTGGAACCAACAAGTACCATATTTTAACGTCTTTTGGTATGACGCGGTCGGTGATCGAACCCGCGACCTTCCGCTCTCCCGGGCGGATGCTCTAACCTAGAAAGGACATGTGCTTCTCAAGATGACATTTACCTGTACACTGGATGTGTCTCCAAAGCTCCAGTTAAAGGTTCCGCTGTAGGGAGTTTGTATGTCTGCTTGCTAGGAGAACAGTGTGCTGATCTGAAATGTGGCAACAGTTCCTGGAACGAGACCCAAGATCCAGTCAAGGGCTTCACTACAGAACAAATTGCCACCTTTGAGGAGGTATCTCTATCCTGCATCATGTGTGACAACATCGACATCACCAGCATCCAGACATGCCCTTTCCTTTTGCCTGGAGTCAATAACAACCATGTTGTTGACAACAGTTCAACGGCTATCCCACCCTTAGACCTGTCCCTGTGGGGTCCTGAAGAACAGGAAGGAGACAACCCCGAAGGAACAACGCCATGTCCACGGCCTGTGCAACCTCTACAGCCTACGCAAACACCAGATGGACAACGTCCAACGCGGCCTCTACGACCAGATGGACGACCAATGCGGCCTCCACGACAAGATGGACGACCAATGCGGCCTCCACGACCAGATGGACAACGACCAACGCGGCATCCAAGACCAACGCAGCCTCCATGGCCTGTGCAACCTCCATGGCCTACGCAACCACCACGACCAGATGGACAATGACCAACACGGCCTCCACGACCAACGCAGCCTCCATGGCCTGTGCAACCTCCACGGCCTACGCAAGCACCACGACCAGATGGACAATGATCAACGCGGCCTCCACGATCAACGCAGCCTCCATGCCCTATGCAACCACCACGACCAGATGGACAACGACCAATGCGGTCTTCAAAACCAACACAGCCTCCATGGCCTGTGCAACCTCCATGGCCTTCGCAACCACCACGACCAGATGGACAACGACCAACGCGGCCTCCACGACCAACACAGCCTCCATGGCCTGTGCAACCTCCAAAAATGTTTTTAGATTGTTTTTGCCCCATATACACTTCATAAATTGCCCAAATTAAAATACTTTGAGTATTTGAAAGGAATATTACTTTGACTGGTGATTTTTTATTTTTATTTTTTTTCCCTCCTGCCTTTAGGTTTTCTGAGGAAAAAAATCTGTAAAAGAAGAAATAAAATTGGTCTGTCCTTAAGTCGAAATAAAATAAAGAAATACTACAGGGCAAAGGGAAACAGGAAAAATATGAAGATACTAATTTTGTGTATCAATAATAAATAAACATTTTTCTAATCACAAAAAATTAAAAAAATAAAAAAATCCACTTCCATTAGTAGCACATTTCTACCCATCCAGCAACAAGCACTGATCGACAAGCAACAAGCACTGATCGACAAGCAACAAGCACTGATGGACCAGCAACAAGCACTGATGGCCAGCTGGGAGGTTCCAGAATGGAATCCTGTTAGATACATTTGTGTTTTATTTTCTTAAAAAATCAAGATAAAGACTTGAAATTTCAAGATACAGAGTTCAAATTCCATGGTACTATATTGAACCATCAACACATTGTGTCGAAATTTCAACTTACATACCTTGAATTTTTAACTTATTACCCATACTATCTTGAAATTTAACTTACACACCTTGAAAATTCAACATAGTATCTGGCAATTTCAAGAAAAGTAAAATTCCAATGTTTTCTGTAATACAGTCACTGGGTAAGGACAGGAGCCATTTAGAGGAAGCTGCTGATCCCCTCCCCGACCAGCCGTGGGCTGGGGACTGAAAGACAACACTGCCTGGAATAAGCGGACTCGCTGGCCCAATCAAACGAGTATTGATCACTTTCAGACCTCTTAGGAAATCTATACCCGACTGCCTAGCACACCTGTGAACTGAAAACAGTAATTTTGGGGTTCTTTTTGTTCTCGTACTATTTAAACAGACTTATAATGGAACAACATTTTTTTTAAATGGCCTCATTTTATGCATTTGTAAAACCAAATACAGCCCACTCCCAAAACTGTGTAGTTTCATAAAGCCTTTTGGATTTGTTTGTTTGTTGTTTAATCCCGCACTCAGCAATAATCCAGCTATATAGTGGCGGTCTGTACGTAATCGATCCTGGACCAGACAATCCAGTGATCAATATCGGAATTCTATTACAAAACAATATTTTTTATCAAAACAATTATATTTATTTTACATTTGAAAAATACCTTTTTGGAGGGGACATGTGAATTCAAACATATATTATCATTGAATGAACATGAATATTTTAAGTATTTTTACAGTCTGAAGTAATCCTAATAATTTAAGATGCAGAGTGCAACAGTTTCCGATGCTCCTTGTTCGCTTACCAGGAATTAAGTAGGGTCCAGCTCAAAAACAAAGTCAACAGTTTTGAGTGAGTGAAGAAGTAAGGGCCATTAAAAAAAATAAATTTCACAGTTTTGGAATGAGTGAGTGAGTGACCTGCTTTTTTTTTTACGTTTTAGTTTTATGTCACTTTGAATAGAAATGGGCTTCATACCATGTGCTGAATCAAAGCCAGGTCTTTGGTATGATGAGTGAGTGACTGAGTATGGTTTTAGATCACTTTTAGCAATATTCCAGCAACATCACTGCGGGGGACACATTGTACCAATGTGGGGAATCGAATGCGTGACGAGCGAACACTTTCACCACTAGACTACCCCACTGCTCCTTTGATAAAGGATCTATGACTGTCATCTCAATCTGTGAAATTTTTAATTTTATGACGTATAATTTCTGTCTATGGTTGGACACTAACAATTTAGTGGGGACCAAATATCAAGACATTAACAGAAGAGTCAAACTTATATATCTTTCCATATCAAATCAATTTTTTTCAAACAACAAAGTGTGAAAAATTCAACACACAACACACACACACACACACACACACACACACACAGAGTGTTTTTGAGTGCATGCTCAAGGCGCTGGTATTTTTTTCCCTTGATCATTGGATGTCAAATTTCAACGGCACATCTTATTATCAATCTCAGCTCCCTGGGGATCATACAGCACTTGCAGCTACCAGGCGTGAGTTATTGTGGCTTTTCCATCCTTACAAGGTAACCATTCATAGCTGGGTGGACTGGGACACATATTGCACAGGGTTGTGTACTGTACACTAGGATTATACCTTATCAAAACCAATGATCCAATGATAAGGTTTTAAAACAGTGAATCACGGCCTAGATTTTCGAAGCTCTCTTAGCGCTAAGTTTATCGTAAGTTAATGTTAATGAATGGCACTTACGACTATCTTAGTGCTAAGAGAGCTTCGAAAATCTAGACCCAGCACTGTAGTTCATCTGGGTGAGTGGATGGGTGACGAGATGAGGTGAGGTGAGGTGAAATGGGGTTTAACGTCGTACTTGAGAATATTTCGCTCATATGACGACGTGCATGCGTGTGTATGTGTATGTGTATATGCGGCTGCTTGTAATAGCCCAGACTGAAGCTGGTTTTATAGTGCTAGCCCACTGAGATACCATGCCGCAGTGAAGCATGAATACCCCACTCAGACACATTATACTGACTCCGAGCCGACCAGTCCTTGTACCATTAATGCCGAGAGCCAGGCAGGGACCAACAAGTACCATATTTTAACGTCTTTTGGTATTACGCGGCCGGGGATTGAACCCGCGACCTTCCGCTATCCAGGCGGACGCTCTAACTACCACACCATGGAGGCGGTCGGGATGGGTGACGAAACATACCAATGATAAGGATTGAAAACAGTGAATCAGCACTGTACTTAATCTGGGTGGGTGGGGTAGTGGTGGGGTAGGCTCAGGTAACATAAACATCAAACCATGTCCCGCTCGTGACTAGTTTTGGGAATCAGAAACCAAATCCACTATCGGTTATCGGGGACTTGTTGTGAACGATTATCGATTATAATCGAAATATATACATTTTTAATGCAATCACCAATGTTAAGGGATTCCCCCAGTTTGTTTTTTTTTCTAATTAATGTTAATGTAATTATTCTGTTTATTTATACAACAAATATTTATCAGTATACCTCATTACATTCACAATAGATGCAAAAAAAATTCATAGACAGGTTACAGTAATATTTACTGTAGTGATGAATACGTAACTATGAATACAATGCGCAGAGCTTTACCCCGTTTAGCCCATGTTTGTTTGTGAATATTCATCAAATTTAAAGGTTAGTTTACTTCATTCAAGTGGGTTATACTAAAACAACAAAATTCCGATTAAAAGGAAATATGTTTTTTTACAATTGATAATTATTTTGAATCCTTCTTTCGATCAATTTTCTATTAGTTTCGATCATCGGAACACCACAACAAGTGACCAGTAAACAACTTGTAATGAAATTATCACTACATTTTGGGTAGGATGAAAAAAAGATTCTTGAACAGGTCTCTTGCACATTGTGGTGGCGCGTGGTCCTGTGCTCAAAGCTCAGGTCACAAATCGGTGAAGTTAAGCAGCGTTGAGCTCAGAGAGTCCTTGGATGGGTGACCGTGTTTGGAAGCTTGACTCCTGAGAGTTTCTAGGACTTCAGTCCTGCCCCACAATGAAGCACATGTGACACATGTGGTCTCACCTTAGGCAAGTGAGTTTGTTCAAAATTGTCTCTGTTCACCCAGCAGGAAAATGGGTACCCGGTGGAAAAAGTCATATGACTATAACCTTCTAGCGCCTAACAGGCAGCTTGGGTTATCTGGGGAAATAATGTGCTGTGCCTTGATTGTTAGCGCTATGAGCATACCTAGTGTGGAGTTTGGAGCTATATAAATGGACACATTATTATTATATTATTGTTACAAATGGAGAGCAAGGAATGAGCACGCTCCAAACTGCAGCATGGGAGGTAACTCACCTGGTGGTTCAACCCTTGTGTAGTGGTAGGGGTTGACACATACTTCGTCCTTCTTCAGCAAGAATGCGTACTCGCATTTGTCGATGGCTCGCAGCTCTTGGTGGGAGTTGAGGTCTGACCACCGCCACAGGCGGCAGTAGATGACGTGCGGCAGACCCTTGCGGTGAGAGACTTGGAGGCGGCCATCGAGAGACCTGTAACAGGGGAGGTCACTCTGGTTACCAAGGCAGATAACTAAGTAAATACCTCAAAATGGAAAATATGACTGCCCTTATTTTGAACTGATCATCCCATCAACAAATGATTATAATTAGTCTATACTCTGCTGAAACAGGGGAGGTCACTCCAGTTACCAAGGTAGATAACTAAGTAGACACCTCAAAATGGAGGAAATGTTTTCCCTTATCCCACACTGATCATCCTATCAAGAAAAAATGTTGTGGTTCCGATTACCCAACGGACCAATTCTGGTGCCGACCCTATTATTATAATCAGTTTCAGTTTTCTGCTGAAACAGATTTAGTTGAGTGCTACAGGTGAGTGAGTGAGTGAGTGAGTGAGTGAGTGAGTGAGGAGTGGAGTGAGTTGGGTTTTATGAGGAGTCACTCTTAGCAAAACTGCTGCTGAGTGACCTTAGAGCAGGAGTTGAGTGAATATGGGAATCATCTTGAGCAAAACTGCCTACCCACAAGGTAGTCTTGTCATCTTTATTTAAACATTATTAGGACACCAGAAATGGGCACATTGTACCCCTATGGGGAGTAGACACGGGTCTACTTTATACACTGTTAGCAGACATCATTTGATAAATCTGTAGTTGAAAAGGTATTCTTAAATGTTTATATTTATCTATCACATCAATGAGACCACGTCAAGCTCATAGGTGAGGTGAAATTGGGTTTAACGTCGTGCTTGAGAATATTTCGCTCATATGACGACGTCCATGCATGTGTATGTGTATGTGCGGCTGCTTGTACTAGCCCAGACTGAAGCTGGTTTTATAGTGCTAGCTCACGGAGATACCATGCCGCAGTGAAGCATGAATACCCCACTCAGACACATTATACTGACTCCGAGCCGACCAGTCCTTGCTGTATCCATTAATGCCGAGAGCCAGGCAGGGACCAACAAGTACCATATTTTAACGTCTTTTGGTATGATGCGGTCGGGGATCGAACCCGCGACCTTCCGCTCTCCAGGCGGACGCTCTAACCACTACACCACGGAGGCGGCCGTCAAGCTCATAACAATCTTGTAAACAATATATATTTATACTATGAGACAAGAATTTGGAATTTTAGGGAAAAGTTAAATATTTTATGGCTTATAAGAAGCACAACACAGAATATGCTCTACAGGGGTGGAAATAACCCATTGCCCGAGTCCAGTGTTTTTTTCTGTTGGGCAAGCAAATTTGTATATCACACTGTACCGGTGTCCAGTTGACTTTCCAATGTTAATTATGTTGTTTATCTTAAAAAATCAACAAGAAAATCGGCCAGTATAGTGGAAAAATTATCAGGGCAAGTGATTTTACTTGTGCCACTGTACCGGAGTACACTAGCAATTTTAAAGTTACTTCCAGCCCTGCTCTATGAAAATTATAATAAATTATACATACATACTATATATATATTACCTATATTTATACAAATAAACCTTATCACTTGCAATTTGAGGATATTGTTTCATATATTTAAATATTGAAGACAAAACACATGGCTGAATATGCTGTCAAAAATACCAAAAGTATGTATGTATGTATGTATGTATGTATGTATGTATGTATGTATGTATGTATGTATGTATGTATGTATGTATGTATGTATGTATGTATGTATGTATGTATGTATGTATGTATGTATGTATGCATGTATGCAAACACAAAAGAACTTGAAATTTGAGTGTACCTTTCAGAATATCAAAATTAAGACAAAACATCACACTGAATAAAACAAAAACTACATCTATCCTATATAAAAAAGTAAAAAGTACTTGCAATATGAGTGTACTCTCCAATACACATAAAGTTTATATCAAAACACTATGTTTAACATGCAGAACAAAAATAAATTCACAAAACTATATTTCCTGTAAACAAAACTACTTTTGTCTGCACACAAGACACTGGACAGGTTTGTTACCTGCTAATATCAGAGAGTGAGAGCGTTTAATTTTACGCCGCTTTTTAGGAATATTCCAGCAATATCATGGCAGGGTCACCAGAAAGGAGCTTCACACATTGTACCCATGTGGGGAATCGAACCCGTGTCTCCGGCGTGACGAGCGGACGCTTTAACCACTAGACTACCCCACCGCACCTAATATCAGAGATTTAAGATTTGATCATATGGCCTGACCAATTTTATTTCTTGTTTTACGGATCCGCCGATTGTTTTTTTTTCAAGATAAATAATAATAATAATAAAAAATAATTTCCCCTGCTCAAAAAATAAAATTTTAATATTTTTATTGGCAAAAATGTAAATGTTCAAGAAAATGTTTTTAGATTGTTTTTTGCCCCATATACACTTCATAAACTGACAAAAGTAAAATACTTTTAGTATATACAAGGAATATTACTTTGACTAGTGATTTTTATTTTTATTTTTTTACCCTCCTGCCTTTAGGTTTTCTGAGGACAAAAATCCGTAAAACAAGAAATAAAATTGGTCTGGCCTATTAATTAAATAAAATTAAGACCATATTCAGCATTGTGTTTAAATATATCATTTTCAGAGAAATCTCAAGCTCTGGCCAGTCGATCAGTAGACTAAAGACTGCCGCCAGACCAACACGATCATCTGTAACCATGACAACCATCTGCATTATTGGTCATCTCACTTACTTGGAAGATGGCCATTCATTGCACGAACACGGTCAATTTGACTAAAGATAACACGTAACAGTCTCCAGCTAACTTATCATTAAAACAAAGATGGACATTAATCTCATAATGAATTCAGATCTCATATATTTTTCAGTGAAGCATTTCAAATATTTTAAGGAACCGACACAATAGGTTTTCCTGAATTAATAGACCATTTTTTTAATTATCAGAACAATTCCAATCACAGGTTAAATTGGAGGAACTGGAAACAGTCTGATTTAAATATCAATTTGACTCTAAGCTGAAATGACTTTTGTCTGAATCATGACTGAGGGATTTGAGTACTGCATTAAATTATATAAACATCAGACAGGGTGTTATCACGACTCACAAACATGGGAGTCCCAGGGACCTCCAGTTATTAGTTTTCTTCCTGTGAAGTAACAGTTTAGAGAACTGCATACAGAGCTACAGATAACTTTTTGGGTCATTGAGTTATGTACCCGCTTGTCTTCATCTCAATTGGGTATCCTAATTTTCCTTTGAGTAACCAAACAGATTGTACTCCCCTCACTCAAAATCAATTGGGTATTTTGCCTTTTTCCATTAATTGTTAAAATATAATAAAGTTTAAATGTTAGTGTTTGTTATTTATATTTGATCTGTAATATGAGAAACGATATGAAAAGCTGCTAGTTGAGTGTTCATGTGCCGAAATAGAACATCTAAATATACCTCAGTTGATTTATCTATCCACTGGTACGCAAGCTAAGATTTGACAGTTTTCTGTGTACGCATATACGATAAAATTTATTGAGTATTTACAAATATACAAGCGTACTTGTACGCAACTGACGTAATAGGAATTGAGTTTTCACATAAATATTTGCGTGATTTACGCAGATACGCAGCTTATCTGTACCTCTGGCATATTTTGATAACTTTTCAGAGCCTGGAATGAACATTAAACATGTGGACTGATGGATGAAAATGATGCATGTAACTTCTCTGAAAGAAACAACCAAACACTTAGCAAAGTCATAGATGTGTTGTGGGTACAGTGAATTATGTTGTGGGTACAGTGAATAATGTTGTGGGTACAGTGAATAATGTTGTGGGTCCTTTGAATGCAGTGACCTTTTTTCCCCGAGTCCATTCTATTAATGTGTGCATTGGACGCATCCGACAACTTTAATCAACGAAATAATTACAGACGTACAGATAAGCTGCGTATTTGCGTAAATTACGCAAATATTTATGTGAAAACTCAATTCCAATTAAGTCTGTTGCGTACAAGTACGCTTGATTTTTTTGTAAATACTCAATAAATGTGATCTCACATGCGTACACGCAAAAATGTCAAATCTTAGCTTGCGTACCGGTGCATAGATCTTTCTTATCGTTTCTCATATTACAGATCAAATATAAATAACAAACATCGTTAACTAACATTTAAACCTTATTATATTTTACAATTAATGGAAAATGGCAAAGTACCCAATTGAGTTTGAGTGAGGTGGGTACAATTTATTTGGTTACTCAAAGGAAAATTAGGATACCCAATTGAGATGAACACAAGCGAGAACATAACTCAATGACCCAAAAGTTATCTGTAGCTCTGTAATTAATATTCATATGGGAATAAAACTTAATTAGAAGGCATTTCATTAATCTGTGAAGATTCAGACCCAAAATTTACATATTTGACCAATATGCACATAACATCGAAAATATCAAACACATCACTGAAAAAAAGAAGCTCAATTTCCTCAAAATAGCCCCAAATCTTTAAGTATATTCTAAGAGAAATACCACATGTAAAATTAGATTCCGATCCAGACTACTAAGGTACATGGTACACAATGCCGAAAATATATTTCAGGAGCTTATCTCAGAGGTCTATGAACATGCAACTTCCTTGTTCTTTTTCTCAGTGCTAATATATTTCAAATTTGATTTTTTTTTCCACGAAGAGCAATAAGTGAAATCATTACCACTAGCCGATTCCGTGGAAGTTTACTGTTCTGTTTTTGTACTGACGAGAGAAGGCGCGCTGTACATGTCGTAATCATTAGGCTGAGAAATCAATATTCTGCCAGGCCAGACAGTCGTGTCAAAACTCCGACGTTGCAGTGTCTGGGAAACTCTTGGAGAATCTTGTCTCGGAATACAGACGTATGGTTTCATTTCTCCACACTATCGAACTCTTCCGGTAGTGAAATCAGGTTTAAGTGTCAACGAGATTGACGTGAATTATTTTGCAATATTGAGATGATTTTTTTTTTACGTTGAAAATTTGGGCAATTTCAAAACATAGATTTCTCATTACCTCCTAATACAATGATTGATGTGTCTAATTTCATC